TTTMTATMTTYATAGATGAGGAAATGCATCAAATGCAAGTTGCCAGTCGACCACCAGAAAAGTGTAAATTCTGGCCAGATTGTATGAATGGACCAAACTGCCCGTTCTTTCACCCATCAATGCCATGCAGGTAATTATTTGTTTAGATTACAATACCTCAATGGGGAAGGTATGATATGTGCATGTTTCTCTCCTGAAACYAGGGTATTGATTTAATAATGAGGGGTGAGAGTCTTGATAACAATCACTAAGTGAAAATATAAACTTACAAAAATACACACACCTCCCTTCCCTTCCCAGGGAAATAGCTTATCAAGTAACATTGAATTGTTTTCATTTACTTTAGCACTAACCTTTTATTTATTTTACTTTCTTGTAGAACATTTCCCAACTGTAAATTTGCCGACAAGTGTTTATTTATTCATCCTCTTTGTAAATTTGATGGCAGGTTAGTAAGAATAAACAGGCCTGATACATGGCCTGACATATTTGATCTTTCTGTGTGTTACAATTTTCTATTTTTATTGACTACGGTACAAATGTTAGACTCATCACATCTGTGTTTAGTCACACAACTCTGACTGAAACTTCACATGTTGACAAGGAGACTATACCACAGAAGTAGCCTCCTCCCCAGGCAACTCTTTTTTCTTCCTTTGGGCTTCCTTTGTAAGGGTCATCTTGGCCGCTAGGGACTAGTGATGAGTAAGGCTCACAGGGAGAGCCTACGTAGCACTCAGTTGATGTAATATATTCATAAAGATATAATACAAAACACATAATACAAAAGAACGAGAAACAATGGAATACAATACATTTTATGAATACATTACATCAACTGCGTGCTACGTAGGTCACACCGGAGCGCACATGCCTCCCCTCTCTCGCCCCCATTCTCCCTCTTTTGACACCCAAAAAAAGACAGGAAGCCCAAGTGATGCCTGCGGAGGAGGCTACCACAAAAGGTTTCTAATCAGATTGAAGTTTGTTAGTCTTTTCTCACAGCTGTTATTTGGCTTCTAGTAGACTAGAAGTTTGATTATAAGTTATTGTTTTGTTTCTATTGATAATACGATATATGTCATTGTGTTTTAGGTGTGCTAACACGTCTTGTCCGTATTTACATAAAAACAAACTACAAGCAAAACCTCCAGCATTAATAAAACCACCTCCACAACCACCAGGTAAAATAGCAAACCCCWGCATAATTTGTAGCAATGATAATATTCATTGTTTTGCTAAGAAAACTATTTTGAGCAATACTGTTTAATTCTTGATTAAGCGAATTCTGGCCGATTAAAGAGTGTTTAGTAACAGGGCATTCACACTGTCAGCCCATGTGTCAAATGGAAGAAGAGTGCCGATAATCAAAAAAAAAAATTATGTTTTGAAAGTTTTTGTCACTACGCATATAAATGTGTAAAAAACATAGTATTGACACACTCTTTACACTATAAGAAATAATTCTCAAAACTTTGCCAGTGAACCACATTCGCAGCTTTACTACTACACAATTTATCCAACCAATGGACATCGGTTTTGGGATTACAAACAAGATGGAGAACCACCATTTTAGTGCTTTGCAAACATGAAGAAAGCAAGCAGCAATTTCGTTTAACCGTGATTGTCTCGGCTGCTTTTCGTCGATGTACAYCCCGCCTCACCCTATAAATAGTAACTCATACTTTCCTGTTTGTTCTAGTTCCTAAAGTTGACGAAGCATTACCAACACTCGCACAAATCACCCCTTGTAAATTTTATCCTGGATGCACACGAACCAATTGTCCGTTTTTACATCCAAAACCAACAGTAACAAAGGTATGGACATCACCAGTAATACATTAATAGTTTTGCTTTTCAGCTAAAGATAATTATCAAAACTACTGGCGACAAAAAAAAGACTACCWATGATTACATGCGTGGAGTAAGCTACGATTACGAACGATCGTTTCTTCACACTATTACTGGTAAATTGTGTTTCTAAATTAATATAATTAATGATAATGTAATTTATAGGTATGTCGATATGGTAGTTCATGTTCAAGAGCTGACTGCATATTCACTCATCCGCCAAATAAGTCTGCACTAAAATGGGTTGCTCCATCATTACATATCAGGTATTTTATGTAACATTTCTTAAAACATATTGAAACGGGAGCCATATTAGCTCACAACACTCATCTATTTTTAAAACGCAGTTCTGTGTGAAAATAATTGACGTAGCAGTTCATTAGTGAGTTAAAATAACTAATGGTTGTTTCCTGAAACTCAGAAACTTTAACAATATGTTATTGCTCGGATTCTATTGTTTAATTTTCTATTGTTGAAAAGCCATGAGAAAAGGAACAGTGCATTGAATGCAATTATGTTGACGTAAATGTTTTGCTACGTCATACGATGACATCATAGAAAAACGTATWTGTCAGTCACTAATTGTTGATGACATATGACACATGTGTTGGTATGTCACCTGTATAGCTGCCATGGGATGACATCACATAAAAATACGACAGTCTTAACGACATTTGTAACAATAGAAACCTYAACTAGTTCCTGATGGAATGACGTGAAAAAGCTACAAAGAGGCAGTCTTTTTTTCTTTACGTAAACCTGGTAGAGAAGAGAGAGCTCCATCATACTTAATACTTTTTCCTGTTGTTTTTTTAGTGAAAGAAGTTTTGCTCTTCCAGAAGAAAACGTCAAAAAGATGCCCATRGCTTTTTAACCCAATTTGCTCATGTAAACATTTCTTACTTGCCAAATAGAATTGAAGAGAGTTTATTTTACATACTTTTTTAATGTTGGTAAAGTGATGATGAATTGCAAAGCCTGTAGGCACGAGTATTAACTGCTCCATGCATACAAAAAATCACAAAATGATTGTCAACACTGTAACTACAAATTTAAAATCAATATTAGTTCAATGAATAATTCAGGATTGTTTTATTTGTAAAAACCATTGTACATACCCATGTTGTGTTAGAGTTACGTCTTATTCGTTATGCCTATTTTTATAAACGGTAGCCAAAAAAATCATTACATGTTTTGCTTTTTAATGAAGAGAATGTAAGACTTTTCATCTCAGTAAATTGTCATTTTTTGTGTCATTTGTTCATGTCTTTGCAGGCCTAAACACAAAAAATTATGTATGCTGTTTCGAAAATATCTGGTTTCGTGAAACAAATATAATAAACATGAAAATGTCGCAATTTTGTTGGGAAGTTGATGTCAGTACAAAAATCTGGCTCTGCGCTTCGATCATTCATGTTTTTTTTTTGCCAAATAATATTACTGAAGTCGATAGATTCACTGTAATGCAATGCTATCATTCTACACTTGCCAATATATATGCTAGAGAACGAAAATGTTTCCAAAAAGCGCGCGAAAAGTATGTACGTCTTGACGCGCGCGCCCGTCTTCCAATTATTTATTTCCAGTTTAGTGATATGTGAGAGCGATAAGTTTTTGATTATTTTGATGACATTGAAAGTAATTTTAAAAAATCACATTCTATAAGACTTGCCATATTTGTGTCAACTTTTCTTAAATTCCAAATAAATATAGTTAMCAAAATTAATAAATTTGGCATTCTGGTTCTACTGTTAGTGTTGTGTGTGCAAAATAGTTTTGCCCCAATTATGCGATAAAATTTATAAGTGGATTTAGATCACATTGTTTATAAGCAATAGTATTACTAAGTGCTTCATATTAGAATTGCTACGTTCAAAAACCTGCCTCAAACTGTATTTAATTATGTATGTATGTAATTAGCTTCTGTTGTAAGGTTTTTTAGCTCATTAGCCCAACCTACTTAAAGTTCGCACCCAATTACTGTCAATTGATTAACTGATGAAACAGCTGAAGTAAGACAAAGCTAATTGTTGTCATTTTCATCAAATATAAAAATTACAACCGTCTGAATTTTTGAACTCTTAGCTTTTTTTCCTTTCCACGTTGTTCATGTGAAACACGGGACACAACATGACGCWATTTCAGATTCCCATATACAAAATTTTCTAACAGACTTCAGTTTACCCAAGTGTGAACAGTTCGATGCCAGGGTTTCTTTTTTTCAAGATGATTTTTTTGCCGTGATTTACTTCAGAAATGAGCTTGAAAAATTGTAAAGTCGTAACAAAAAATGATAGTATGTACAGCCTTCTGGTTTAATGGAACTATTTACAGCAATTTTATTTTTAAAAAGAGCAAATTATTTCCGTTATTCATGAAGCCATAAACATTTCCAAGCCTTGAGTTTCTTTAACGAAAAGTGGGCTGGCAACTTTACATAAAAGCCATTGTTTACTAATTGAACCAAAGCTTACAAAAATTGCTTTGCCTATTGTTCTCCGGGCGTCACTTAACTGCAAAAAATGTTTGTTTACATAAGACCAATCTCGGGGGAATAATTTAATTATTGTAAGTAAGGGCCACTTGAGCAAATTATCAGTTAGTGTTAACCTTCCATCATTGAATGACTTCCATAACAGAGGATGCAGGAAAGCACTAACATTTCATTCAAGAAAGCCGTTAACGCAGCCAGATTCATTATCAGGAGCAGAACTGGAGTTGCCATATTGAAAAACAACTATCAACAGAAAAGCGACCCCATATCAGACAAAACCGCTCAGTTGCTGCAAGGATTCAAGATAAAAGAAATGAGAAAACTCGAACGTGACAGAACACAATTTGTGAACGACCAGTCAGAAAAGTTTAAAAACGGCGATAAAGCAASTGAAAGTTTSACGCCAAGAACAGCACAAAAAATAGTCATAAGGGAGACTAAAGAACTCGGAAATGAAAAACAACGAGCACAACGTCCACGATTGAATGGAGAATCCTTATGTCAATCCATGAAGTACAACACTGAAGCTGTTCTTTATCGAAGAGACTTGGTTCCCGTGTTTGAAAAACGCTCGAAACTCGCTTGGGAACAAAGTGATAACGATGAAAATAAGCAAGAAAACTCGAAAACACCAACTTTGACAAGAAAGAAAATTCTCAACCACAACCTGAGTTCATATACAGAAAACAAAAGACTTGAAATGTGGCTAAATGAAGTTGAAATTGCAAACATCGAAAGAAGAGAAGATGCAGCTGGCCGTAATCGCAAGAAGCGAAAAGAACGCCACGTTGAACACGAAAGCAACTCGTCACAATTACCGCAAAAGTTACTACTTCCAAAATGCGAAGACAGGAAATCAGTATCTGACGACTCAAGTAAAAAGCTGGAGCTACCAAAGCTTGAACACTCGAAGTCTTCCACGGAAAATAGTCTAACTCTACCCAAAATAGGACAATCTGTAACTCCAGATAGCAGTCAAGATAAAAGCAAAATTGAAGAATCTTTGAACGATCCACGATTTACTAGGCTAATGGATTCTCTCACTCCTTCAAAATGCAGCTTGAAGTTGCCACAAATTATTACGAAACCTAATAGCAGATCAGCCTGACGATGTATTCTTATTGTGAAAATATATATAATGTCCTGAAAATATTGTAAATAATGATGAATTTGTAAATAAATAGTTCAATCATAACGTTTGCTGTTTTTGTTTTGCATGTTTCACTTCTGACAAACTTTTAAAGAAATTTTGCGCGCGCGTGGCTTATACTTTTATCTCTCGCTCTTTTGCGCAGCAATACCACTGCAGCCTTAAAATAAATGTTTCGACGATAAAAAATTACAAGATTCATTATTATCATATTTTTATTCAAATATACTTTTCTTTTACTATATTATATACAAATTTAGAGTCATTTTATTGAAAAGACTGAAGTGGAATCAGTAATTCGTTGAATAAATGATCGCCCCTCCTTACTAAAACCATCTTAACTCATGCACGAAATCTTTGAATAATGAAAAAACTTAGACAAAAAAACCTTTGTGTGTTTATTGTGGTTCGATTTGTATAAGAACGTGCAACTACGGGCAGTAAAATTATGATAATAAAGATCTTRAATTGTATTATTTAATTACTTCGACTGACAACAAGTCCTGCCTCTATTTTTTGTCTAAATCAACGCAGGAAACARGAAGAACAGTGAATATTCGGTTGAACTATGAATGTGTACTGGAGCGAGATCATAAAAACTGTGAAACGCATTTTTGCTGGAACAAATTTGATTTTCGTGGTTTTCCTTCGAGTGTGAATAGCCAAACTCATAGATGGTCATTTTTCACTATAACTAAATAATTAGTTAGTCCTTTTTTTTCTTCAACACTCAAAGTAAAACCACGCTATCAGAACTAGTTTCATGGATTTAATTGCATTATATTTGTATGTATTAAAATTGCTAACACGTTGAAGATTACCAGCTCTTTGAGACATTCATTTTCAGCTGTTATCTTTCTTTACGCGGTAGGGCGGGAACAAGACGTAAACGAAAACTCTCGTCGTGAAAAATGCTCGACGCTGACGCAGTTGAACCATAGCTCAGACTGAATGGATTGTCATCTCTAGTACGCGACAACTCTGATAGAATGGCCAACTGAAACAACGATTAACACTGTTACAAACACGACGCCAGTTATAAGGATCGAGGACAAAAAATTGCCTTGTATTCAAAATTGTCACAAGAGTTTCGGTCAAGAGTGTTGTTTACACATGGTACTATGACGTCACATATTTACTGGCTTGTTGTGATTGGTCAAGTCCAGGTCAATTTTCCATGTTTTTAGATTTTCGTTGAAGAGTGGCCACTTATGTAGGATTTTCAAGAATGAAGTAGCCGAAGAAAAAGTAGGAAAGGCACTTATTGATAAAAAAAATCAGCCAATCAACTTCCTTCAATGCTTCCGTTACTTCCGTCATCATCAATTATCAACGAAGATTGCTCCTCTAATGTTATGGCAATAATTATGCGATATTATCATTTTTCGAGCTCGGTTAATAATCTTTCAGCATAAAGAAATCCTTCTCTTACCCTTGAAGGTCCACGATTTTGTCTTCTAAACCGACTGATCGCTTCAAATTTCTCTGGGTCCAGTCCGTGGTGAGTTTTATTTTCCACCTGAAGAGGAAAAAATCGTCAGTCCTCTATATTTCGGGGATTTCATGGTCACTGKATTAAAAAAGACATTGCGCCTTGTTTTTTTTTGTTTGTTTTTGTTTGTTTTTATTTTGCCAATATGGTCAACATCAATCATTCCCACATTGCAAACGAAGAATAGTTTCACGTGGACTATATATCCCATCATGCTTTGTTCTAAAATATGGAGTCGGTTTACAGTGCGCTATTCGGGATGGATTTACTAATAGTCAGAGACTTTATTTCAGTTTGACCCCGCTAAGTTGTTCGCCCGTTTTTTCGCTAATCAATAGAATGTTACGATTCATTGTTCCCAACACTGTTCATACTTTTGAGGGAGCATCGACTCCTTTGGATGCCTGCTTATCTTCAGCCTTTCGAGCCGTAGTCTTTCCTTTTCGAGAAGGTGCTCTTATTAGTTTTCCTTTGTGGCACAACGCGCAGACCATGGTATCGGGTGAGTCTGAGTTGTAGCCCTGTAGACATTCTACATGATAGGTGTGACCACAACTGCAAAAAAAAAATAAAAAATAATAATAATAATAATAATAATAACAATAATAATAATAAACATATTATCATGCAATTGAAGTCCCTTTTCTCTAAGTCACAAAGTCCATCTTCGGACTCGTACTCTGTGTTTTTTTGGCTACGACCTTCCCTTGATCCATTGCGCGCCGCCCAAAAAGCGAGATAGAGCGGATTTCGTATGAGTGGGAAACGGACGGTACTGTACTGTGACCGTAATCGTACTGTAACCAAATTCTAGTGCCCCATTGTTTCACCAAAATTGTGAAGGCCAGGTCCGGTAATTGTGCGGTAACCGTGCGGTAACGGTGTCCCACTCATACGAAATCCGCTCTAAGCGACTTGGTACGAGTCTGGCCCATCCTGGCTCCAGGACTCTAGCGAAGTGCTATCGTYTTTCTTATTTCTTTACTATCATCTCGGGAATTCACAAAGGGTCCGACTTAGTCAAATCCATCAATCAGTCTTTGTATTACGAGTATAAGTTACTCATTCATTGATTAAACTTACCGAAACACAGCAACTTCTGCAGTGTTGGTAACAATGTTCGACAAATGTCTACCACATACCCGGCATGCCATGCCTTCAGGAGCGACTCCTTTATCGAGGTTTCTTATTAAATGATTCATGGATGRGTAAAGATCATTCTCTAGAAGACTGTTGGTGGTTTTTAAAAGTGTCTGCCAAAAAAGCACAGTAATATTGCAGAATGTGAATAGAATGTAATAGAGAGAACATTATAATCAGGCCAACAATAGCTCTTTTCGTGTTTAGAAAAACAAGTTGCGCGAAGGGCCTGCGGTTTTGCATCAAAGTGAGCCAAAATCAGGCAACCCAAAAATTGTCCTTTTTGAGGTTATTAGTGCAACGGTAGGGAAATAGTTTTTGTTGGTGAAAACAGTCATAATGTTTTCATGACTTGACACCCTTGTTCATTTGAGGGCTGCAGCAAGCACTTTGTCAGCTTTGGTTTTAACCGCGAAAAGGTCTATTACCCTATGGCATAATGACGTCGAAGCATGTTTACAGTGGGACTTAATGCTCAGAAACAGTGGAAATTCTCTCTCGCAATTAGTTTATATATATAATATAGAGACAGCAGGTATCAATCATTGCTCATGTACACTTTCTTTGAAACGCAGTAATTCGGTCCCCCTCTGGAGACCATAATCCTTAGCGTTAAAACATCAGAATGCTTTGGTGTGACGTAATCATGCCATAGAAGAAGCGTGCGAGAATAACTAATAAGTACGACTATTTCATTTACCGATTCATAAGTGTAGGTGTCGAGCATGCCAAGGATAAGCTCCTTGATTTCTCCAAACTTCCCACTACTGTATGTTGGGTCCTGTAAAGAGTTTAAAAATTCCCTTATATGAAGGACATTGATGTCAAACGACTGTATCGGTCAGCAAGTATAAAGTTGAAGGAGATTCGTAGGAGKCGACAACATACCTGCATTATTTTCTGCAGTATTGCAGGGAGAGAGATGTATCCCATCATGCTGTTCATGACATGTCGGGTCAAATCTTTGAGAGCTAAAACAAGAAGAAAAGAGTATTTCTTTGCAGGTGTTCGAAGCGTCCAATCGATTCAATAAATCATTGTTAAACAAGAACCATTCTTGCACTTTGCCCTGAACATGGCTAAGAAGAGCAAATTAATGACTCGAACAATGACTCGAATAGATGCAACTCACCACGGAAGTACTCACAACTCGTATCGTGACACTTTCGTTGTGGCGCCATGACAGACTCGAGTAACGGGAACCATAATGCCTATATCGAACCAATACATGTTAGAAAACGTTCCTCTCTCCACCCCCTTAATTAAATGAGCGTACACACCTCTCTGTCGTCTTCGTCAAACCTCGAGGAATTTCTTTGACAAAGCTGTGTTATGATGATCATTACAGCCCATATTTCACTGAAGGTTTTACGCAATGCTGTAACAAAACATGAGAAAAGATATTATTTGGTAAATAGTATAAATTAACTCAAGGGTGCCTGATGTCGCAGAATGGATCCCCTTCACCACCGCATGCGAATGTTTGCGATCTCACCTTTCTCAAGGCCCTCAAGTATTCACAGAAGGTTACCTCAAATGCGGCCTAAAGTTTATCAATGTTGGATTACCTTATCAACAAAAAAATAAATACAAAGTATTATGGACGCACCTTGAAAGTCTTCACTCTTCTCATAACCAGTAGCCGCCATCTTGACTTTCTCATTCAAAGTCTGAAAAAACACATTGTTGATTATTAGTATTCTTAATTAACGTCGACTAGCAACCTTGTATCCCTTCATCCCTTGGAATGACCCATAACGAAGGAATAAAAGGTAGAGGGACCTGTGCAATGGAAAAGAATTACCTCTAGTAATAGTTGAAAAGCTCCATGTACATCACCAGCCTTCTCCAGAAGGTAAGACGTGGTGTATGTAAAGGAATATCCTCGAACGATCTGAAAATATTGAATATTAATTGTAAAGTGCAGTTAGTAAAAGCGTGAAACATTACAGTTGACGCACTAAATCCGTGAAAAATACATTGCTAATAACTACTATACAGTGCATTGATTAAACAATAGAAAACAATCATTCAATCAATCAATCAAACAAACAATCACAGCATGAAACAACAGCGTACTTACAGCAAGAGTTTCCTCAATCCGATAGTTATCACTGCCTCGTAAATAACTAAACACAGCTTGGTCGTGTTCAAACTGACACATCAGGTCGATATACTTCTCYTGTACATCCACATCAGGGACAAGCTCCAGCTTAGCAACAGGAGACCTAATAACCATTAAACATTGTCTATTATCCACGTACAGTCAAATCTCCACTTAGAGATGCTCTTATGAGTGGAGAGCTCTAATTATGGAAAGCTCTCCAATGTATTCACATTTCTTATAGGTAGACTGATGTACAAATGGACACTTTTTCCGTCCCCTTACGGGAGATACACCTGCAATGTTTACTGTTGTTGCGAACGTTGTTAATGTGTGTATTCTTATGCTAAAGTTGCGCCTTGAATTTCGTTATTTTCTGTTGTTGTAGGTGATCATAATGTTGTTGCTGTTGTTGTTGTGTTTGTTGGTGTTGGTGTTGCTGCTGTTGTTGTTATCATTTAATGGATACATATACCTGCTATCGAATACTCCTTTGAGGACTTCGTACTGAGTCTTTGGCTGTTCCTAACATGAAGAGCAAGATTKAGCAAGTTAGATATAGAATTTGATTCGTTTGATGTTTTTCAGAAGACAAAAAAACATTTGCAATGCTTAGACTGGGAATTCAACACTACACTTATATAAATATTTATCTGACTGCGTTCTTTTAAACCGGTTAAACAATTTGTCTGTCTGTCCGTCGATCGTTGCAGTCACTTCATTGCTTACCTCAAGCTGGTATACAACAGAAGTCAATGCATTTGGAAAGTAGTTGATAATAAGACTAGCCATCTGCCAACAACTGATGGTCACAAGTTCCTAGAAAAAAATATTTATCGTATTGTAAATCCAATTATGATTTTTTCTTTGGATGGAGGGGTGGATGTACTCAGACTACAAATTACCTGTCAGGGAATGGGTGGGAATTGGTGTAAACAGGCTATAAATTACCCATCGGGGGAGGGGTGGGAATAGATGTATATCCCTATAAATTAACCGAAGGGGGAGGGGTGGGAATGGATGTACATAGGCTATAAATTACCCATAAGTGATGCATACCTCAAGACTGTTCAATGCTGCATCTTTCACTTCTTCTCTTTCTAAATCAGTGTAAATATCATCAGTCATGACGCTTTGGATATACTTGAAAGCCTGATCCTATAGAAAAAATTAAACAAATCTTGATTATCATTGCTATGCTTGCTAAGGGTAACTGTCTTGAACGTTGTCGGCAATCCCTGATCTCCTGATAACCCATAGTGGTATGTTTGGCATGGTGGGACATGACATAACTATCCAAGGMCCAAGGGTCTTACCTTCCTTGCAGTGTCTCTGAAGTAACAGGACAAAACTTTTGCAAACTGCCGTTTCTTTTCATACAGCATCTCACAGACACGAAAGCTGSAATCAAACAAATGATATATCAAAAAAGACAAACTAGCAGCGATAAAACTAGTCTACATTACTTACAATTTAGCATTCTCAGCTAAAACAAGAATACGATCATCATCAAACTGCCTCAGTGCTCCGGCAACAAGCAATTCAAGCAAAGCCTGTGAAATAAAGCGATACAAATAATAATCGAATTGAAATAAAGAATTGATTGTTATTGATTATGATTAATTGAAAATTAGAAGTGACCTGTTGTCGTTCTTCATGTCTAGAATCATCATCTGGATTTGCAAGATATTCAAGAACCTGAGTGCAAAATAATAACAACATAACTACTAATGACTGCTTATTGTCTAAGCTAGATATGAAGTCTCAATACTGTATAGAAGTGATAATCATGACTATGACGATGTGTGAATCAGCGTATGTCAATCACCTGCTCAAACAACACTTTGTTAACGTATATAGTGTTCTCGTGCTTTGCCATCTGCCTTGCCAAGAAAGTGAAAAAYCTACCAACTTGAGTTGGCTGAAAGACATAAGACAATAGTTTTATTGTATTGTATAGTATTGTTGGATGGATTCACACCATGAAATAACCTCTCGACAACAGTTGGGGTCATACTGTAGTTCAGTTTGTAGTGCAATGTGAGGGCATCACAGAGGTCATGAGTTTGATTCACTTTGAAGCCCAGATTGTGAACAATCTGTTAATTATTAACAATCACGTTTCACATCTTGATTGTGGGTGTGGAACAGTCRAGTMGATTCCCTGTAGTTCTTGATATYCTGATAATAATTAMTTTMTTTCACAATAACTTACAGAAAACCCAGTGTTTTGCACCATCAACTGTAGAAGTATGTTAACCACATGCTGGCGCCCTAAAGTGTTATCTGGACCCCTGTGAAGTAATAAGGGTTAAACTAACGTTGCCATCTAAAATATTTTCTTTCTCTTCAAATCAAACACAATTAGCTCAATAATATGATATGTTCTTCACCTGAAATCATTATCAAACTCCCTCTCTTCAAAAGCCTGAAAAATATGTCACAACTTTAAAAGACCTCTGATTTRAAAAGAATATAATAATTATATCATTTGTTGGCACATACCATTGAAAGAACATTGAGYAATTCCAGTGTATCAAACTCAAGCAAAAGTCTTAGGTATGGGTATGTAGGCTCAGCTGAGAGAGGAAAAAAAMTGTTATACAATATTTATTGCTTTTAAAACTAAGTGCAACATGATTGTTGAATGGACAAGCACAAAAGAACAGAAAGAAGACAAGCAGCTGTAGGAAAGAAATTGATGAGTTTTGTGTATGCATGCAATTCAGTCAACTGGAATTTAAAAAATGTTTTACAGTTCCAGTCACCATGTTGAAAGGTAATATAGCAAAGCCTTTGCATCAAAACGAGACAGGAGTCGAGTCTGTGGAATGATCAGTCAGTGTCAAATCACTACACTTACTTTCGTAAGCATCTTTGGTGTGAACGGCTGTAAGGCAATTAAATACCTGTCATTGTAAAAAGAAAAAAAAAATCTTGATTTAATCAAATAGTGACTTTTATCATCTTTCCAAGTTGCAAAGTAAAGGTAATAAAAAATATACAATACAAAGAAGATAAAAAAGAATAAAATAATAAAAAAGTAACATTAAATAAATGCCGGTATCTGACATCTAATGTGGGCTAGTTATTAACCTACTTCTGTTTTGACAAGTGTAACAATGTCTTCTGGGATTTCACCAACTGGGAAGGCTCTACCAGCAAGGTTGCAGCTAATGTACACTAAAATCCTGTATCCTAACCCTTGGTCTTGTTCTGTGGTAAAAGCACATATTAATCTAAATTTAATGTAAGTAACAATTATATAGCAAAACAAAAAATACAAATTGATACATGAGCTCTACCAATATGTCATCACTTCATGCAATTGAATTTATCTGGTCAAATTTCCTGTTTATACAATCAAATACGAATGTGTGAAATGGAAGCCTTTCCCTACTGACTGACATTTTGCCATTGGACTTTCATTTRATTTTTACTCCATACATTGTACTCTCCAACCTCTAAGGTCAATGACATTAAAATAATATAAAATGCTAACCTGTCAGTTGTTTSCCAGAGTGGAGAGCACTCCCTAGAACTCTTAGTAGCTCCTGTGAAAACATCAATGTTATAACAAGCAATAMTAGTTTCTCTTTAATATAACAAAGACCATCCCTGTCACTGATTATATGSTATTTCTTGAGAAAKAMMTTGTAYCACCTCCATTTTGGCTGAATTCCAACTATTTTCCTTGGCTTGCAATAACTTTGCTAAACMTAGCTGGTAAAAGGTTTATCACGAGTATCATATTATGCTTGACTGGGATGTCAAAGTGTCTTATTTACTATTTATTTAGTCGACATTTAAGTCTGATTGACTAAGATAACAATGTCTAGTTAACTGATTGACAAAGATAGCAATAATCCACAATTAAATATAATAATAAATAATAATATAATAATACCTCTAGAGGGGTGGTGTAGTCTCTCATTCCACGGTTATACACATATAATATAGCATCGTAAAGACAATGAGACCAACACAYCTTTACCATCTGTRAAAACAAACTGGATTTAGTTTCTTGATTYTTAAAAGCAACAAAAGACCCAATCAGCCAATACATTACCGTAAGTTACCTTGGGTAATTAGGAATATTATAATCACTGGACACCCTTCCTCACCTGATGAATGTCAAGATTAGTAACATCTAAATGTAATAGACAGGCTTCCACTTCTTTGACTTTACCAATGGATTGAAAATGTTCTACAGATAGAAATAAAGAAAAAAACAAAAAGAATGGAAAATGAAAGACGGAAAGAGAATATGACTTTTGTTTCCATCTAACCACCCCAATCAGAATTCACAATGTGAACTGGAAATTCATCGGTATCCTCAACTTACCAATGAAATCTTTCATGACAATGGCACTAAGTGACGTCAGTCTAGAGATAAAAAATAATTATAACAATGGTGCACGCAAGCTGTAAAACAAAATGTGAATCGTACTTACTTGTCATTCAAAATATATGGTTCCAAACTCTCCAAAAAAGTGATTCTACCCATTGGATGTTCYCAGAATTTGTAGTAAATGTCACGAAACAGCAGCTCTCTATTCATAAACACATGATGTCAGAAATACCCATTGAAGTAAATTATTTTGACCTACATCAATCAATAATTATATAATTACATACTTTTTACGTTTATATTATAAGCAACAGGGAAAATAGACCTCTTTAGTTCATAGCTGAAATGCAGGGCCATCCGAGGGACAAACAARGAGTTTTAGCTCTCAAGAGGGCAAGAGTTTATTGTTTCTTCTCCAAGATTCACAAGGTATATTTAGGGTTAGTAGTGGTCTAAATTTATGACAGTGCAACAAAACTTCCTGTGACTTACGTTTGATTGACAGCAGAACAATACTGGATGAATATGGGTATATATTCCTGGAAAAAATGTTATATAATATTAATACCAGATTTATAATTATGTGGGATAAAAATAAAAAACTCTCCCTCACCTTAAAGTAATTTTTAAGTGCATTAGAACTCTCTGTTGTTGGTCTATTTGTGAACATCACTACATCAGCATAAGTCAAGAGAAGTTCATTGATCTAAATGAGCAAAATTAATGTTAGACAATCATCAAACTGTTCTCATAAAAGATGAAAAATGTAAGTAAGAGAAATAGAGCAATACTAATGGAGGAAGGGAGGGAACTGGAGGTAGCTTCAGCAACCAAAAGAAATAATAAGAGCTGATCACATTCAATATCCAGTCAAAATATATCACTTTGAAGGGTAAAATCCTACATTTGACCAATCAAACTTGAGCTTTGCAAGTCATCATGTCCGCCTGCTCATTTCGTATCACTAAAAAGAATATAATAAATAAAACAACACTTTACCTCTTGTGCTACCTCACGCTGCCTGGTTTCCAGATTTCCAAACAARCCTTTAAAGAAAAAAAGCTCTCATAAAARAGGATCCATAGCACAATAGGGTAATAAAACCTAACGCTGCCATTAACTCCTTATTGAGAGGGCATATTATTGATCTACAGTGTACAAACAGTGCTGGATATYTYTTCAATGTCACATCACTTACCAACAATAGCCTTAGCCGTGCCTGTGTAGAACGACAATGCCAATTCTAATGCTTCCTGGAATTTATTCAGCCGTACTAGAAAGGATATCCTCTGAAAAAAATAGGAAACATACACTCAAATATTAAATTGTGCTCATTGAAAATTATAACTAGGCATCTTCAAGTTAAGTGTACTCACATCTGTCCATGTTCTTATCGTCAGCACATGAATTGACTACAAAGAAAATGAGATGAAAAATGAGGAAAAGAACGAAAAAGAAATGAAAGCACACTTTCACTAGTCTAAGAGTTGTTATGCAAGTTTACAAGGAATCTTCTTTTGCATATGATTCAAGCTATCAAATACAATAACACTTAAGACAATAAATATAACAATGRTTTGTCAAAGCGTAATAATATTTTACGAATTACATATTTAACAGTTGTTAATGGAAAAGTGTTATCAAAATGTTATTTTAGCAAAAGGAAAGATGTAATCATTGTAATCCATCTGATCTGTCTTCTAGGGTGATGTGCATGACAAAGGATTAACGTTTTAAATGTCAGTAAATTGTTTCACCTATTTTTAGTGTCAACTTTACGTTTTTACACATTCAACTTATGTGCAAAAGTATCAATATTGCAATAAATATAATTCAATTACTAGGACCAACCTTGGAACCAAGAATCAAAATCTGTCCATTAAAGACAGACACTGTTTGATAGCAGGAATATTCACTTGCTGCTGCCTGTGGAAAAATGCATTATAATAGTCGATATGGTGTCATTTACTACAACTACCAGAATGCTTTGTGAACTTTCTTTTGTAATGCAATTAGTGCCATTTGTTTTATCAATCTCCAAGGGGATTAAAAATCTGAATAACAATGAAAATGTGCAAGACTCTCTGGTAGTTGTAGTAAAGTTATGTCATAATGCAAATGGCCTAATATTCAATTCTACAGTTACAGCTAAACAGTCATGTAGTTATGAAACATATAATAAGCAAAGTACAAGATGATTTACCAAAGCTTTGCTGACATTCCCACCAGTTGACAAAGACTTGAAATAACTACTGCTGTAAACCATTTGGACATTACTCAGGTCAAGAAGCTGTATTGAACATAAAAATAATACATTTTAATTTGATGTGATAGAGTTAACTCCAGTTATATTCCGTAGTTTGCAATTTTACAACTCATAGCTTTAATCATAAGATTGACTTTCCACTTTTGTATGCACTTAATTACAAAAACATTGTCCTAAAGAAACAGAAATTTGTGCAAAGGAATAATATTATAGTATAAAGAATGAAAAGCATTCAGTTTTAGAGGTCAAAATCTTTTGACAATCGATTACCTTGGTCCATAAATCTAATTTGTGTCTATTTTATAATTACTTAGTCTCCTCGCAGCGGTTCTTAGTGGCGGGCTCCCTGTCCCCCGTGACAGGGAGCCCACCACTAAGAACGGCTGCGAGGAGACTAATAATTACTGTACCTCTAGCTCTTCCATTGTTCTAACATCAAGAATGTGAATTCTTTCCAAATTGTCTACAGCAGCTAATACATGAGGGTTCAACCACTACAAAAATCAATTGTTAATTTAGCATTTATTTACAACAAAAATGTAACTTTTAGAAGTTCTTGAGCAACACGCTATATATTATTATTTCAAACATAATATTTACTGTTGTATCATTCAAGTCTCTATACTACTCTCTAGCTCAAGATTAACACCTGACTTGAACATACATAAAAAAATTAATATAATTTATTTAAAATATTTGGCTGCAATACTCACACGTAGAGCTATAAGTTTGTAGTCTTTTTCTGTCTTTTGAAGGAAAATGAATTTGATGTTTTTACTTTCACTGCAATGTGCCTTTAAAATGAATAAGACATCTATATATTTCAGACATTAATGTGTCATCTGTGGTAAAATATCATAATTGACTTAAATGAAGAATCAAAAATGTCTGCCTTATAATTGTTATTACAAGCCATAGATAACTGTCAGCTGTTGGTCACAATGGTACAAATAGTTACCAAATAAAACATACCTGGAAAAAGTAGATGCTGGTTCCTCTGGCAAATGCAAGAACCTAAAAATAAAAGGCAACAATTTATTGCTTAATTGGCACTAATGCTACCAACATGAGAGAGGTTGTGAAGAGGCTAAGGTTTGATTACCAGATCAACCAATCAAGCTGCTTTAGTAGCCTTTCTCTACCTATAGGTGTATTTTTAAATTTCTTTTTTGTATGTTTTATAAAAAACGATGACAGGTTGTCAGAACATATGTAGTTTAATTTATCATAGTTGCACATATGTGGCATTCAATACTTACTGGATCAATCACCTTTTTCTTTGCGACCTGAATAATAGCAAACTGCCAACAAACTAGAGGAAGAGAATCGGGAGGACCCTGTAGAAACAGTCAAATCTTACTCTTACTCTTCAAACGACAAGAACATTAGTATAATACACTATGTGTGAGTTTGAAATCATTTTATTGAGATTCACCACTTTTAATGACATTGTTGTTTCCTCATATAAAAGAGGACAAGTGCCAAGTCTGGACTACCTGTGTTTTATACACTAGGTAACTTCTATCACTTGTTGTGTCTATACTAAAAGTCTCGATACAAAAGCAGGAGACTGTTTTGTACAATAAAAAAATCCCTGAAATATTGTATTTATTACCTCTATTAAATAATGTTAAATAAATCTGTAATTACTCTTACCCTTAAAGGATGAGTAAACAACACTTCCATGTTTGGCTTTAATGTCAGAACCAAGACCTAAATAAAAAAGAAATCAGTAGATAGCCATTAAACCTCTCTGTCCATTGTTGAATTAGTGTTACCAGACAGGAAGCTAACCTTTGTCAGTGTAGCAAGTGCAAGCAAAGAATATTCATTCATCAAATGATCCTTCATTCCAGTATGCAAACGAAGAGGTGCCAATGAGCAAACCTCACCACGACTATCAATTAAAAGCAAAATATCAACAAATGATACTTAAATACACGCCAGACATACAATTTTGACATACATAATATTGCAAAAAAAGGAATTTTTAAAAGGAACCAATCAAATAGTCAAAGGAAGCATCCAGCCTGAGTGATCTTCAATGTATTCCTTTTTACTTAAGTACAAGATAATGTTCTTTTTTTCTATGATAATGCTTTTGAAATTGTGTGTAGTCAAAAGGTTTTACCTTCCAGAGAACAGACAGGTTGATTCATAGCTTCTTACTCCAATCAGCCTCCTGAAACAACAGGGTGTATATCATACAATTATCATAACCTAGAGAGAGTTATGTGCACTGGGAACACTCCCTTAGAAAACTGATGGGATAACTTAAAAGGTATCATAAATTTTAAAATGAGTACACACTTAGTACACTGGTTCCCAGGGGTATTTGATCTGCTCAAAAAAGACATATCTTTTCCTAATATGGATAATAATAATTAAGAATAAACTATAGTAATTTTACTAATGATAGAAAAAAAATGATAAGAAACCAAACAGTGCTTAAATGTGTCATTCATACATTGATAGCTGCCATTTTGATTTATCCTAGTATCCAATCTTCATAAAAATATCTTCAAACAAGATTATATTACTATGCACTTACTTGAAGCTCAAAATAAAAACAGATCCACCACTGTCACTGCAAATAGCAACAGTAGGATCATCTGTGAACTAAAATCAAATAAATTGTAAGTTATGACCTTTCTAAATAGGTTAATAAAGATAATAAGTAAGAACAAGTTAGCTAAAAAATCTGAACTATAACACACGGACTAATGCAATCAAAGACAAAAAGACTAGTATAGTATAAGCAGTTAAAGRAAAGCTCAAGGCTGCCAAAGGCAATCKARGTTAAMCAAGTTATTATGTGATTATATTCATACCACAATATGGAGGACAGCACTACCCAGGGGATGAGCATCTAGAATAGTCCTGAGTAACTTGCCAGTCTGTAAGTCCCACATTATAATCTAAAATGTACAGTAAGTTGAGAAAAAAAAGCACAAAATATGAGTCAATTTTCTTTTCATATGTATTCAGGAGCAAGAAGCCATAAATAGAAACATTGTTTAGTACAATGCAAACTGTCTGTMTTTTTTGAARSKGTTTGAAATCCTTACTTGMCCCCTGGCATGACCACATAACAACCTAGTGCAGTCTTCATTGATACCCATTGCAGTTACAGCTCCATACTCTCCGCCTATACAAATAAAAATAAGTAACTCAGTATATGAATACAATATCAAATAATAGACTTTTTAGTTACCCAGTGATGTATTGCCAAGAACAAGCTTCAACGGATCGACGACGAGTTTGCCGAGGCCCCTGGCATGACCACATAACAACCTAGTGCAGTCTTCATTGATACCCATTGCAGTTACAGCTCCATACTCTCCGCCTATACAAATAAAAATAAGTAACTCAGTATATGAATACAATATCAAATAATAGACTTTTTAGTTACCCAGTGATGTATTGCCAAGAACAAGCTTCAACGTTTGTTTAGGATCTAAATGGAAAAAAATTAAAAAGTTGATAAATATCATTGTAATTCAAATGTAATTTAAAAAGTAGATGTCCTACCAAAGATTAGGATGAGACCATGAGATGTTCCAATGGCTATCACAGTTGARACTGCCTAAAGGAAACCAACATATTTAAAATCATTTTGTTAATATAACATTTCCAGCAATTGTTAAATGTACTTTGTTTGTTTGTTGTTGTTTTCAAATCAGTCATACATATTATAAATATTATAATGCCTCCTGGGTGTGAAGAATATATTGAGCTGTTCAGCATTTGTGTAGCCTGGATGAAAGTTATATAGTGTCCAGAAGTTTTGAAAATGACTGTCAATGGATGAATAATGAATGGCAGAATAATGTGATAAATAAATAAATGGACAGATGGATGGATGGATAGATGATTGAAAGAATGAATGYACAAACATAATAACTGATTGAGTGAGTCAGTGAGTCGATGATAAACTGTGAAAGAATTAAACAATGSAAAACAAGAAGGAAAATGACYTACCATTGCTGTTGGTAATCCTGCATCAACTTTAGACTACAAGAAGAATCATCCTTATAAGATTTTAGCAAAGGTAGTTCATTGTTATCAGAAACCTATAAGGGACTTGAAACGTGCAACGCCCATACATTTCTTTAGTGCCAAGCGTCGGAATATTCAAAGCTCATTAAAAATTCGAAAATGAACGTTGTGACCATATTTGGAAAACTTGGCCGTTGAATAAGAGATTTTTAAATCTTTAAAAGGCCCCTTCTGGTTGGCTATAGGGTAAATTTAATTGTTCCAAATAAGGTCAAATAAGGCGAATTAGATTTGAATATTCCAACGGTTGGCACGTCGTTACACGTTTCAAGTCCCTTATAGGTTTCTGTTGTTTATACATTATAAATCCATCACTCACACAAGCTGACACCAACTGTGAAGACACATTCTTAAGTATGATGTGCCGCAAGATAACACCATGTTTGCTTTTCTCTTCCTTCTTTGATCTGGAGAAAAAAGAAAGCATAAGTTCAGAGCTTTTAGGCCAGGCAAAAACAAAGTGAAAATGAAGTAAGAGATCTTTTTTAAATAGCAAAAAGGCTGTCCAAGTTAGTCCTGTTTTAAATGTCAAACTTATGCCTTTAGTTATCTAATTTAATGRCTTGCATATAGTTTAGAGAAGTTTYCATTCTAAATCAATTGAKGTTGCCAGATTATAATAAGTCTGCATGTAACTAAACAAAATTATCTACCAATGTCAATAAATGTAGACCACAGAATGCTTATAAACTCAACTCCAATAATTAGACTCGACAAAAGATTGTTTTAACAAACTACTTACACCAAGTCAAAATCAAGAGGAGATAACAAAGCTTCATCATGTAYAATTGAGGCTAATTCAGGATCAGACTCCAGTCCCATTGCATCATCATCTTTCTGCAAAAATTAMAAAAATCATTCCTGAAAAGAGGTGACTTCAAAWGGAGGTGACAATTACAGTAGGMGATTAGGCAAAGGAWGGAAATAATGAGCTGTTTCTTACTGATTCCACAAACGTTTTTAKACATTTTCAGTGTTTGATGTGTAAAAGAAGAAAGAACTGTGAAATACTGATAGAATCGGTCTAGATGAACAGTAGTAAAGAGAAAATATTCAAGTATATCTTTATTTGGATTTTTTTTTTTAATATAACATTGAAAACATTTTTACAAAAGAGATACAAAGTATAGCTTCTTAGATATTGTGTAAAATGGTGGTAAAATAGACAAAATTTATTAAATCTCAATTACATAAGCTTACCTCATTGAGAATGCTTTCAAGAGTTGGAATATTTTCAACTTCTGGTAAATCAAGCTCAATATCAACCTTGAAGGGAGACAGGTCAAACTTGTAAGAACTTTATGGTAAAACACTGTCAAAAATCACTTTGAAATACGCAATTTATACGAAGTAGCTCAAAGAAAATCAGTGTTAAATTGCTTATTTATTAAAACGGAAAGAAGAGAGTCGAAAGAAGAAGAAATCACGAAAGTGAGTTGGTTTGAGGCCTTTACTGACCGTTTCTGAAACATGACGAGCCCTAAACGTGTCTGTCTTGCTAGATTGTGTTGTAAAGGCAGGGTCTAAAGACTCAAGTGCCTCAAAGTCGCTCCCTTGGAAGAGAAATCCTGCAAAATCCTTGTCCTCTGTTGATCCCCCTCCGTCCGCCATATTGGATCTTCACTGGCAACCAGGCCTTGCGCGAAAGTTATCGAAACAGGGAACCCGAAGAAACGGACTGATTGTCGGAAGTACAAAACTCAATGGAATATAGCATCTCTTGACTTTCGACTTAATCAAAAAAAAACGCTGTGATTTTTTATAGAGGAAAAGCGAAAAAAGTAAAATAAATAAAAATAAAAATAAAAGAAAAACGAAACGTAACGAAAAGAAAGAAAGAAGAAAAATTCTTCATCTTTGGGCTTCCTGTGATTCGATCGGAAACCGGCCTCGTTTCCAAGCAGTAACCGACCGGAGAGCGGACAAATACAAGAATGGTGGATGTGACGGTGTTCTCGGAGTGTTGCGCATTACTCGGAGAAGGTCCCTGGTGGGATCATGCTTCAAATAGATTTTTACACGTAGATATTTATGCGAAATCCTTGAATCTATTAAATCCCAGCTCGGGAAAGGTGAGTGGAAAACACT